AGAAAGAGACTTATGATAGAGAGAGAGTTTGAGTTTTGAAGGTTTTTTATGGGGGTCGTGCTTTCAACGCCGCACTGGAGTAGTGGTATAGCGCGGAAGACATGATGGAGTACCTTGTTGGTGAAAAATTGTTTCCTCTCACCTTCGATTATTGGCTGGAATTGCTCAAGCTTCCTCTCAACCTTGACTAGCCTGCTTATTGCGTTCATCAATTCTTATTAATTAATTTTATCTGATTGCGTCAAAACACAATGCTGGAAATTGTGTTCATGCATATAATATGATAGTGGTGTTGGTGGTAGATAGTGGCATGTATAGAATATGATAGTGGTGTTGGCGTCAAAACACAATTTTCTTTGATTTTGTCAAAAACAAAGAAAATAAAACAAAGAAAATTGTGAGTAAATTAGATAAATTTGTGAGCAAATCAAAAAAAATAAATAAATTAAAACACTGAGAAAATTTGACAAAACAGATAAACTGAACAAATTAGATAAATTTCAAAACACATATAATTTTATCTAAAATTTCTTTATGTTTTTATATTTATCTAAATTAAAATTTATTTGAAAAAATGTTGAGAGAGTCCAACAACTATAAAAATATTATATATTTTTTATCTTATAAAATTTTAATACCAAAATCCTTAAACAAAATTTCCCATTTTTTAAAAGTTATTTATTAATTAATGAAAAATTGTATGACTTCAAAAATGGGGGGGTTTTTTTTTTAAGGTCCTTCGTATTAAGATTTTATAGCATAAAGGACATATAATATTTTCATAATGTCTAAGGTCTCTCAAGTTGATCCAGAGAAAATTGGTCCAGAGAAAATTAGTCCAGAGAAATTCTCTTAGTCGAAAATGTTGAGAATAGATTGATGACAATTTTGGGAAGGAAATGATCATGAAGGGCAAAGCTTGTGATTCAACATCAGAGGCTGGTTTGGAGATGCAACATGACATAGAGGTTGACGATGGAAATAAGATAAATGACAAACTCTATGCTGAAAAATCTTAATACTAGGGACCAATCTAGAAAAATTTTAAATCCAAATCAAAGAAATTCTCTGGACCAACCTAGAGAAATTTCAGTTCAAAGCAGAGGCCTGATCAAAACGTTCTGTGAGAAACTCATTCTCTTTATGGAATTTTTGTATGCTGTCAAAGGAAAATTCAGGCAATTGGGATGGGTGTGGACTAGGAGGCTATAGGTTGGGAAAAGGCTGAGGCAGAAGCTTTGGCACTGAAAAATCATCCAGAATCTGTCACACTTTTGAACCTTACTATTGAAGATCGAGCTTCACATTTACATGGTGCTTTAAAGGAGTGCATGCGACAAATACGAAATTTAAAGGAAGAACATAAACAGGGGTTGCATGAAGTTGTTCTTACCAAAACAAAACAGTGCGATAGTGGTAGATCCGAGATGGTGGAGGTTTTCGGCGATGGAAGAGGTGTGTCACCGGTGGCGCCGGAACTG